TTCACACGTAGGTTTCGAGAAGAGTAAAGAGTAATGCGGAGCAAGACAGGTCAGTTTTCCTTACCAAATGTCAGATCAGAAAATATATGTACTGTATATAGAGTGTAGTTGGCATGTAGTCTAAAGACATAAATTGTATGAACTCTGATATATATTTTGTAAACGTTTTGAATAAGTTAAATGTTATCAAAGTTTTTAAATTACTCACTATTTTATACGAATAAATGTTTGAAAAGTCAATGTGACACTTCGGACTCGTATCCGGATCGGATACGGGTTGGGGGTGTTACATACACAGTACTACTCATTTGCTCTTTTATATCTCATATATTTATCCTTAACTATCACTCCTTATCACATTTTCATGATTTTGATAGTCAACTTTACTTATACAGAACATCATCCTTTATCATCTCTTGTACTTACGTTTCCCTCAATCATACAAGTCCTTATCTCCTTTACTACCTTACAATTCCATACTCAGAATACACCACCATATCCAAATCTGCATCATACTTGGTTAACTTACCATGACATCATCTTCTAATTCCAGTACATTTTCATCATATACTCTGGTTAGCCAACGCTAACTCTTTTCATCTTAACTGCAAATCCTTATCATATTCACACTCTTGCTTATACACAATACTATCCCTTCCTTTTAAACTCATAAGCTCTAACTTTATACATCTTATACGCTTGTCACTGATACACTTATTCTTGAACTCTTCTACCAATTCTCGCTGCATCATTTGATCTTTTTAACGCTCTTATGGTGACACTTGTTCACCCTATCTTATCCACAAAATAAAAAAATGAATCCATATCACCTTTCCGATTCAAAACAATAAAAAATTTCTATCATTATTCAGATATGATTTCAACTTTCTGAAATCAACCTTTAATCTTATAAGACACTTTCAGAGGTTTTCGCTCCTCATCCTGCCTAGCTAGGGTAGGTAATTGCTATCACCATCAGATTTGCCAGCTATCGATTCACTTCAACCATTTCTATAATCAATTTCTACTATATCATACAAATCTTATTCTATTAACAAGACATCATACTCCTTACACTATCAGATCATAAATTTTTCACTTTGAGTTGGCATGTACACATTTTGAAACTTTATTTGACTTTTGTTTAAGCCTAGAATCGGCTAAACCTTAGCTCTGATACCATTAAATATAACACCCTAACCCGTATCCGACCCGGATCCGAGGTGTCACATTGACTTTTCAAAACATTTACTTGTATAAAAATAGTGAGTAATTTAAAATTTTTATAACATATAACTTATTCAAAATATTTACAGAACTATTCAGAGCTTATACCATATATTATTTTGAATACATGTCAACTAGAACTTTATATATTAAAATCCATGTTATTCACCTTTCTTCTGATCTGACCTTTAGTAAGGAGAACTGACATGTTTTGCTCCACATTGCTTTTTACTCTTCTCACTTCTGTAACCTACGTGCGAAACAATCACACGCTAAGTTTATGACTTAGTGAGGCATTACATTTATAAAAGAACTCTAATTATTTAAACATGTAGGAACACATCATCTCATGATGTCATACCAAAACAATTTAACATTACATACAATGTAATATACACATATACATATCTCACACTATTTCCATTACTAACCTTATTCCACTATCCATATTCTTATCATTTATGTCTCATAATCATATACTCATATATTCATTCTTTTAAGCCACATATGATTCAATTAATCAAGCAATATACACATCATCTCATATATCATATAATACAATTCATATCACAAAAGCATATACTTTACATGTAATATATATATTATTTATTGTTACCTCTTTGTTAGCCCATGTACATCTGTGAGAACTGTAGATATATGAGTCTATTGAGGTTGTGCACTATGCTGTCACCACAACTCGTATAGGGTCCCACTAGGGGCTATGAAATTTGTCCCGAATGACCACTATGAAATATCCCGAAGGATCATTGTATGTCCCGAAGGACCGCGTAGACCCTCGACTCTTGGCATGCCAACTATACCTATAGCTCTCGTATCATATAACATGGGCATTTTCACTTATATCATTCCATTTATACACTTTCATATCACATGTCATATAAGCTCATAGCTTCTTTCACATATACATGTAGTCACATAGCTTTTTTTCATATTCTCATAGGATCACATAGATCATATCTTATAATTTGTTTTCTCATGTTCACATATATCATGTCATATGGCTCATATCTTTCTCATGCAATCACATAGTTCAGTTTCACATATGTTCATATATATACATCACATAGCACATATTTCTTATACCATTATATATAAAAGCATGTTAATACATATAATCATGCACACATACAATTCATGTCATCCATATACGTATAATCATATATTCATGCGTTCTAAAATAGGAAATAGACTTGTCGCAAGTCTTGTTTCCATTTAGCACCATAAACTAACTAGTATGCACTCACCTTGGCCTCACTACGTTCCAATCAACTTTTATGATTTTCTTCTCTTTTGATCGAATCTTAACTTGATAATCGTTCCGGAACTTGCTCGTGCTCGATATCTATATAATCATACATTGATACATATCGGTATCCAATTGATGTATTCTAATCTATCATTTCTTAGACCAAAAGAAATGTATAATTCTATTTTCCCCTTGAAGTGTATCGATACATTCTATAGTGTATCGATACATTCTACAGTGTATAGATGCATTCTTTAACATGTGCATCGATGCACTACCCATGCATCGATACACAAATCACCTTTGATGTTTTCATTTTAAGGGGGTGCATCGATGCACTAATTGCATTCGATGTTCATTTAGTTGAGAGTGCATTGATGCACATTGAAGATGCATCGATGCACACAACCCAGAAATTCCATTTTGAGTCCGAAAATTCTTACTTTGTCCTCAAATTCTACTTATTAAACCCTTCTTATACAATAAAACTTATCTATACATATGTAAACCTTCTTATAACATTATAACACTTCATTATCCCTCATAATTCACCATAATTCTTGAATCAAAGAATTTCATCAAATTTTCCATGTGTTCTTAATTCAATTCTATCACCTCTAACTTCTTAACTAACCCTTTGAGAAGTCAAATTTAACCTCCAACTTCAATTACTAACTCTTTTCCAAGATTTCAATTTGAAACCTCTTATTTTCAATCTCTCATAACTTGATAATCTTTGAGTTTTAATCCATCTTAAGCTTTCCTTAATCTTTTCCATCACTCTAAGAATCAAAACCAACTTTAAAACAAAAGAATTAATCAACTTCGAACCAACTTACCTTTGCCATGGAGCTTACGAGAAAAGAAGAAGAAGGTTGAACCAAAGTCTCCAGACTTTTCTATTTTCTTTCCTCCATTTCCATGTGCCATCTCCTATATAAAGGAGAAATAAAAATCTTTCTTATAAAATTACTATTATACCCTTCAAAATTTCCACAATTACCATTTAATATAACACTAAAATTTTTCTATTTAAGTCATTGAACTTTTAACTTGTTTCAAAATTGAGCACAAAGTTTCCAAAAATTCCATTTTAGTCACTAACCTCAATTTTGGGATATTACAATTACATTAGACACTAAACTGAAAAAACGGGCCTAGGTTGGGAACCTTTTGTATATTTAAACCTTAATTTTAAAAAAATACATTTTGAAATTTTCTTTTTCTAAAAAAATTAAAGCTTGCATTTTTAAAAATGGAGAACAATTGGAATGAGCTTAGAGTTTATTACGCATAAGAAATGAATAACACACCCTCATGAGTAAGGTTTTTTAAACGAGTAATTCTATTAATCGACTGAATCAAATTATCCAAATTTTATTAATTGATTTTTTCACTTTAATTGTTAATTGGATCGATTTTAAAAAAAATTAACCAAACCGAATTAAGTTCGGTTAATTGACAGGTTAGATGAATTATCCGAATTAATTGAAATTTATAAATAATATATATTAAATACTAAATATTTAATTTTTTGGTTTATTTGATTAATTTAGTCGGTTAATTCGGTTAAAATCAAAGTTTAAATACCCCTAAAGTAATATATATATATATATATATATATATAATATTAAATATTTAATAATTCGGTTAACTAGCCGATTTTGAACCGAATTAACCGAAACTGAAGTTTGAAAAAAATCATTAACCGTTAATAGGACAAACCCATAATTAACCGATTGAGATTTTAATTCGGTTTGTTAATTCGATTTTAACCAATGCACATTTGAAAGTCATACACATATATAAGCACACGCTTACACATATACATATAATATGTATGGATAGAATTCGATTATATTGTGTAAAATTAAAAAAAAAAATACACATATTAACAATTATATTCTATGATTTTTTTATTTTACATAGATTAGAATTATTAAATGAGAATAGACGATTCATATTAATAGCAAAAAATGAGAAATTATTCATTGAGAAAAGACAATGAGTTAATCTTAATCGTTTATTTTTATTCGTCAAACGATCCTAAAAGTCATCCAATGATTGATTGTCGATAATGGCCAGAAAATGTTTTGCCAAAAAAATAATTTTTTTAAAAGTTTAGTGGAAAATCGATATATCCCTAAAAGTTTAGTGCCTAAAACAAAGTTATTTTGCACATCAATAGTCGTCACCAAATTAACGTTGCCTTATGAAAAGTCACATTAACAACCATTAGTCATATCATCGTCTCGTTATTAATTTAATATCATAATGACATAATTAAATGTAAAATTAAAGTTCACTGTTATAATTGACAAAATTAAAAATTCAATAATATAAACAAGTTAAAGGATAAAATTTAATGTAATTACCCTTGTTTTTTAAGTAGGAGTCTACATCTTAAACTTTATTAAAGTAGAAGGATTAAACATAAAATTTTGAGTTCTTTTTCGTAATTAAATATCAGAATATAGACTGGGATTAGGATAAGGAATTCAGCCAAACAGTCCGTTGCAACAATGAGGCGATCATAAATATTAAATAGCATCAAGGTCCATTGGAAAAGCGAAGCTAAAGTATACTACAGCGAGAGAAAAAAACCAAGGAAGAACGATGGGGGGAGGAATGGAAGCACACAAAAACAGATTCATTGAAGATTGGAGCTCGGCAAGAGAGAATCTGGAGCACAACTTCCGATGGACTCGCCGCAATTGGGCTCTCGTCGGCATTTTCGGCATCGCTATCCCCGTCCTTGTGTACAAGGGAATTGTTCGAGAATTTGTATTCTTCTCCTTTTCCATTCCATCTCTCTTTTAGTTTTATATCTTACTTAACGATTTAACATTTCATTCGTTTCTTGCTATCTTAATAACTTAATTGCATTTTTTGATGTGTTTGAATTTGGGGTTTTGGGTTCTTGTTTGATTAATCAGATTGGGTCTTTACGATTATTCTTGAGATTGATTGCCTGACTGCGACTATTATCGATTTAATCGATTTCTTCTTACTGGGTGTCCGATTGTTTTCCTCAGGGTTTCCTAGTTTGAAAAAGGGCTTTGAAATTTGAATATTTATCTGACTAAAATACTTTGGGGATTAGATCCTTGGGTTGACTTGATTTCATTAACCGCTACTGATAAAAAAAATTTATGCTGAGATGCATTGCTTTGGTAAAAAATTGGTAATGCACTATAATGTAAAGGAAAGTTCTTTTTGTTAGTAGGAACATGTTTCTTCTTGTGCTAGACCTTGATTTGAAAATTCTTTTTTTTTGTTGGGGAGGGGATCTGTGATTCTTGTCAGATTGGATTGCTTGATTGCGGCTATTTCCATTTTAATCAATTTCTGTTTATTTGGTTCTGAAGATTTCCTTAGGGTTTCGTAGTTTGAATAAAGGTTTTGAAAATTGAAGTTTTGTCTACTGAAATATTTTGTGGAGTAAATCCTTGGGTTGGCTTGATTTTAGCCACTACCACACTAAAATTGTTATGCCGAGATGTATTGCTTTGGTAACAATATTGGTAATGCACTAGTGTAAAAGAAAGTTCTTTTGTTACTAGCACTATGTTTATCACATCCTTTTATGTTTCTTTTCGTTTTCTCAAGCTTTTAGATAACCTAGATACATTTTCTTCCTTTCAAGATCACGACCAATTTTTGAGTGTATTTATAGTACATGGACTTCTCTTTTTATCAATTAACTATTCGTTTGGGTATGCCACTTGGATTTTGAAGTTAATGCCAGAAGTTATCATAACTGTGCCCTAACCATGTCTTGACAATTTGACATGTTCTCTCAAGTCCTTGTAACATAGGCCTAAATCCTAACCAGTAACCAGCCTTAGAAAAAAATCAACACCCGAAATATGTTGTGAAGCAAGAATACACCAAAAACCATGCTATGTAACATTGTAGTGGTATAATCAGGAACAAAATTCTTCCAATGGGACATATTTGATACATCTATATTAACCTGCTTTTGTTTAACACGTGAGGTACAGAACATAAGAATTTATTTTCTATTATTGTCGATAGTAGTTCTCCCATGAGAGTATAACAAATTGAAACTAAGGTGAATTATTCTTTTGGTATTCACTGGTCAGCCATAGCAAAGATTAAGACTCAGCTTGGTAATTGGTATGAGGAATGGAAAGATGGAGTTTAGAAAAATTGTTAATCAAATGGTTAACATTCATAATCATTTTCCTACTTTGATAAACAAATTTTGCATCCTCATGCTCTTCCATCCTTTATACAAATGAAACTCCCAAGGCTGTTCATGACAAAGAAAGTATTGTGTTTTGGAAATAGGAGAGTACTAGAACGTGGAGTTAAAGAGTGAATGTTTGATCTTTTACATTAGGAGATTCATTGTAATTCAGTGGAATTGATTTAACAATTTCAATTGTTGATGCCCATTTTTGTGTTGCAAGATCTTGTTTGATTTTTGTCGTGTTGTATGAGCACGTTTTGCAATAGATAATTTTTTTCCTTTTGATTTTGATTTTCCTTTATACCTTTTGTGGAATTGATTTGCTTAATGATTTGATAATTTTTCCAACAGCATATGCAGGATGAAGATAATGGTAGGCCATACAGGAAGTTCCTGTGAGTTGTTCTATGGGATGCTTGATAATAAAGGCTTTTGACGAGTAAAACTGGGTTTTATCTTGGACAACAAGTTGTGTTATTTATCCAGTTTCAAAACTTTTATTGTTCATCTTGATCCATATCATGTATTGCTCCTTTGAAGTTTCTGGTGCACTTTTTCAATCATGCATTGCTCCATATTACGTGCAAATGTAAGTTTGAGTCCTTATGTTTCAATTTAACATAATTCGATCATTTAGTTTTATAGTATCATTAGTTAATCCAAACTGTTAATAATTTACACGATAGTATTTAAGATTCTATGTTTGAAATACAAATTTTCAAAAAATATATATATATCAAAATTTGAAGAATGCGAAATTACAAAATGTTGCGAAATTAAATCATTAAAAAAATGAAAATATTTAAATTATATAAAAATTTAAAATTTCCAGTCGTATAATTAGTATTCCTCTATCGATAGATTGTTATAGAATTAAGTTTAAGAAACAATCATATAAATTATTTACACCCAATTGTTAAATTATGTAATTTTTTATAATTAGGGAATGATTTGGTTGATAATTCCAATTTTAAAAACAAATTGCATCTTTCGATTTTATTCTCGGAGTCGTTGGAGAAATAGTGGGGGTCAGTGGTTAGTTATTTATATGTAGGAGTCATTATAATTACCTTTTCTTGTTAACGAGAAAATGTGTATTTACATTATTAACCTACAACCTCCTTTTCTTATTAGTAATTTAATATTCATAGCCTTTGCCTCCATGTGATTTGTCTCATGATGCTGGTCACATGGTTCCGATGGATCAACCAAAAGCTTCATTACAAATGTTGCAGAAATGGATGCATGGGGAAATAGCCTCATCTGAAACACCCGAGACAATTGCTCCTAAATAGTCACCCAACAAGTTGTTTCCACTTCATCAATATGGGGCATTAAATTAAATGCTTTTTTACAGTTTGGTCTCTCTATTTACCATGAAATTTTTATATTAATTGTTTATGTTCGGATATGAATCTCAAATCGAGTCACGAATTAGTATAAGAACGAATTCCTTTAAATATATGTATTCTTCTTTTCAATCAAGTCAATTAAGAAACTCAATTGGTTTGTGAGTGAGAATACTAATTTAAATAGTTTATAAATTGTGATTCTTTTTATAGAGCAAATTGATTTGTCAATAAGTCGACAAATCAACTTATTTAATCTCTCTTTAAATAATAAATAAAATGGATTTTATTTAACTTCCTTTTTCAATTAGATGGGTAAGATTTTAAATTGATTTGCAAGTGGTCATGAGAAAATCATCAACTCATAATACTTTAAAGATATGATATATGTTTCTTACAAAAGCTCTTATTTTCACTTTGTCTTGTCTAGTATATATATCAGACACGCAGAAAACAAAAACATTACACACACCGAAATGAAATGTTCTTCAATCAAGATTTCACTGAGTTCAACACTAACTCAGGCAACATCCTTAACTACGTCTCTGATTCTAACCAGATCGAAGATTTCGATCCAGTAACCATCGGGATCCTTGATGAATGCAAACCCTGCAAAGGCATGAGTAAAAGTATCTTTTTAATAATCTAGGGATATTACAAGATACCGATTCAGATTTTTTTTAATTTATTGACAATACGCACATATCATACGGACGATGTTTTAAATATAACTTTCATTATTAGTATAGATGAGATGGCTTACCGTCCTCTGGTGTTTTGGCAAACTCTACTCCAAGGCTTGCAAATCTCTCGCATGCCTTGAATGTATCATCCACGGTGATGCCAATATGCCCTGAAATGGGGTAAAAGGACGGTTTAGTACCTCAATTGTCCCAAAAATTTTAACACGGTAGAAGAGATAAACAATAAACTGTTCATACCGAAGCCTAAAGGTTCTGAATTCCCGGGTGGTATCCTTTGAACTCAGGGTCGTTTTCGGTACCCCAATTACTGTAGGAAACATTAAACTGTTAAACATGTTACAAGGAAGAAGAATGGTGATTTTGTCGAAACAAAAAGGAGGATTGATTTTTCTCTTTTTTGTAGAATAATGTACTCTTACTGTGTTAGTTCTATAGTGGCCGGTTTCGAAAAGGTCCAAACTGTTCTATCGATTCGGTCACTTGGAGCTGTTGAGACGTCCTGCATCCAAGGAAAATACGTTTTTACGATCAAATGTCATTATCATTAACAAATGGCCACACTCACTGGATCCAAAAATTTAGAAATGGGATAAAAAAATTAATATATTTTTCAATATAATAGGTATCTTCTTTTTTATTCCTTCAACTATATTTAATATCTAACCTAAAATAATGGGTATGCAATATATTGAACTGTATTTAATATCTAATATAAAATAATGGGTATGCATTTAGCCCCATATGGGGTCATATGCATCCACCACTAGTGACACTGGATGGACCAAGGGCTGCGGCCTTCCTTATGCAAATTTTAAATTATCATATATTTTAGTGTTTTTGTATTTTTTATTGATAATCTATTTTCGATTTATTAAAATTTTAAAGTTAATCCTTGTAACATAGAATCATGCCTTTGTCTTTAAGATAAGTTCTGCCATTATACCTCATAGCCCATGAAGTACAAGGTGAACTTCAATTCTGCAACATCGATTCTCTTGAGCAGCCTGGAAATGAAGTTTTGCATTAATGTCAAATCCAATTCACAAGTAAATCTTTGATTCCTCGAGAAATTGCCGAAAGAGACAACTTACGACATGCCCAATATACGAGAGTAGAAATCAAGACTGATTTTTGGATCCTTAATTCGAAAGCACTGCAACCAGAAAGAAAATAATTACACAAATTTACTTAAAAATATAACACTTTACATATAAACACCATAAACAAGGAAAACTAACAGTTTGCTGCATGAAGTAGCCTTTGGTGACTTGAGGGGGAGCTTGAAGGCCAGGGTTATTGGCAGCTGATTCTTTTGAGCCCGAGGACGCCATTGAATACTGCCTGAACTAGCTTTTGATTCTACCAAGAAACCCCAACTTTTCCAACTCGATTTCTCAAAACAAGATGCTTTGAGAATTGGGTTTTAGAGTTTAAACTGAAATAGTCGAAAACTAGTGATGTTGCTTCAGAAAGTAGAGGACTTTTTTTGTTTATAAAGGGGATTTGAAATGTAAGAAAACCAGAGTGGCACTGACGAAGGTGACGTGCATGGTTTTCTAGTCAAAGAAGCAAGAACCGGCAGCGATTAAAAAAAGGAAGCCATTTTTGACCCACTAACAAAAATATTTTGCTTATTTTCTTAAACTAAATTTAATTAAATGAGAAATACAATTTTATTGAATTCATTGATTACTTTCAGTGGTTGAGGACGAGGAGTTGTTATTTTTCTTAGAAGTTTTAGATAAGAGAAAATAACCTCAGTGACCAAAAATCCCATATAATATACGATTTTAACCAACTTTTTCCGGATTTGCCAAAATGACCAACAAAATCGCAATGCGATCGCTAATTCGCAACGCGATCTCCATTATCGCAAATCAGTTTCCAGATTCGCAACGCGAGTATGACTATCGCAATGCGATTTTTCAATTTCGCGTTGCGATTTTCCCAATTCGCAATGCGAATAAGTAAATCGCAATGCGAATTTGGAAAATCGCAATGCGAATTTGGAAAATCGCAATGCGAATTTGGAAAATCGCAATGGGATACTGACTATCGCAATGCGATTTTCCTAATTCGCATTGCGATTTACGTATTCGCGTTGCGATTTTCATAATTCGCAATGCGAATACGTAAATCGCAACGCGAATTAGTAAATCGCAATGCGAATCTTACTATCGCAATGCGATTTGCATAGCGCCATTCGTATTAACGCGTATTTTTTTTTTCAAATTCCAAACACGAATTTTTTCTTAATAAATCGGAAACTGAACCGTCCACAGTAATCGCAACTCATAACCTCAAACCCAAAATCACAACACTCAGTCTCATCTCCATCTCTCACTCTCTACGGCGAAATCCGTCCCCATCTCCGAAGATTTCCGTCCCCATCGCCGGCGAAATCCCTCACAACCATTCACTTCCTCCTCATTATCATCAACAACATCTTCCTCGGCAACGGTTGTTTCATCATCAAAATTCGGGTATTGACCAATATCAAAATCATTACACGCAGGGTCTGTTTCTTCTTCTGAAACATCATCAAAATCCGAGTATTGACCAATATCAAAGTCCGGGTATTGACCAAGATCAAATTTCGAATACTGACTAGTACTCATAATTTTTTCTGTTGGCTCATCATCGTCTAATTGGTCAATACGAAAACCAGAATTTGGTGCTGAAAGTTGATTGGGATTTGGATTAGAGAAAGGTTGTGGGTTTTGAGAAAAACTTAGTTGATTACTACCCGCTACTGACCCAACAATACTACTTCTAGGTTCAACAACATACAATGTAACATCATCACTTGAAACACTAATGTAAGCAATGAATCGTTCAACATCTTCATTGTCGGTTAACAAATAAACTTTACCATTCCTCTGATAAGATAGCCTAAATCCACTTAGGGGCTCTAAATTCAATTTCTTTGAAACACGTAACATTAGAGTTTCATAAGTTAACTTTTTTAATGACAGTTTTAGTTGAAGATTCATGGGTAAAGGCATATATTGTAAAACACCATGAACATTCTCCCATGACCCTCCAAAACACAAATATATCCAAACATGATCAACATTAGATGATTTCATGGTTGTAAATTAATTTACTAAACAAACGAGCTGCGAAACTAAGACATGTTGCCGGATGGGGAAGGATGTAGGAACGGATATAGGAACAGATGTCGCCGGAGAGAGTGATAGATAGAGATGGAATGAGTTGCGATTTAGGGATTTAGGTTATGAGTTGTTGCTTCTGCGTAGATATATACACAAAAAAATTTGTGTTGCGAAACTAAAACCTATTGCGAACTTTGAAAATCGCATTACGATTCTGTATTATCTCGTTGCGAAAGTAAGTATCGCGTTGCGATTTTCCTAATTCGCAATGCGAATAAGTAAATCACAATGCGAATTTGGAAAATCGCAATGCGATACTGACTATCGCAACGAGATAATACAAAATCACAACGAGATTCTGACTTTCGCA